CCAACCTGCAGCCCTAATTGAGTCACCAACCTGAGACGGCCACAGGCGGCTCCCTCTATTTAATCTGGTAAGCGATATCGTTCATGTTCAAGGTCATCATCAACGGCGTCATCATGATCATCAAGGACATCGTCGTCATCAACGTCACCAACAAAAGGAGCCAGCTGTGGCTGTCTCAACAATGATGATTGATTTCAGTATAACCTACCTGGTACAGCAACGAGCTGGCTCCATCGTGGTGATCAGTAAGCGAATCGATTACTCGCCGAGACGGCCACAGGCGGCTCCACCGTGGTAGTCAATCTAGGATTCAGCAGGGATTATTAAGGTGATTAGTTCATCTACCTGAGACAGCCACAAACTGGCTCCAGTGCGGAGTATGATTAAATAAAATAAAGGTGAAGTGTTAGCGCAGGGAGAGCGGGGCCACTGGAGCATAGTTCACCGGAATGAAACGACCCATGCGCAAGTTGATTTAATAGGAACGGTGCAGCAATGATCTACTGGTGCTGAGACAGCCACAGCTGGCTCCCCTGGCGAAGTATTAGCAAGTGAAATGAAGTCGAGTGTTAGCGCAGGGTTCTCCTCCCTTGGGGTCCCTTTAGGGAGGAGGAGGGCCCGAAGCGTGGTCGACGTAATGAAACGACCCCGTGCCCGTTAAATGGAAGAGCGGTGCAGTATGAATGAATCACAGCCAGCTCCTTATTGACTTGATCACCCAAGGAGCCGGCTTGTTGCCTTCTCATCCAAGTTACGATTGAACCGTCTGAGACAGCCACAGCTGGCTCCCATTCCGTGAGGTAGCCAAGTGTAGCTATGAAACCGTGCAACATGAATTTAAAGTAGTCTACCTGAGACGGCCACAGGCGGCTCCTTTCATCAGTGTCGTTGAGCGTAGCGACATGTGCATCATCAAGATCGTCGTCATCAACAGTCATCATGATCAACGTCACCATCACCGAAGGAGCCAAGGGAGCCAGCTGTGGCTGTCTCACCACCAATGACCCTTCATCAGTGCAACCTGAATTTAAACGTGATCCGAGACGGCCACAGGCGGCTCCCTACCACGGTCATTAATAAGCGAAGCGACACTGTACAGATCAGCAGCGGAACCGTCGTTTTCAACATCACCCTCAAGAGGAGCCAGCTGTGGCTGTCTCAATAATTCAATTATGGTGGTAAGCGAAGCGACTGAGCTCATGTTTAACAGTGCAACGGTGATTCATAACTAGTGAGCCAAGGGAGACAGCTGTGGCCGTCTCAGCAAGTTAGGTTAATTAGTAAGTCAACCTGAGACGGCCACAGGCGGCTCCCCTTGGTTCATTAGGTAAGCGAAGCGACCTTGGGTATACTCCACCTGCAGCAGTGATTCATAAAGAGTGAGCCAAAGGAGCCAGCTGTAGCTGTCTCAACAGTGCAGCACTGATCTCAAGGGCGCCACCATGATTATGAACGACAGGAAGTACATCAGGGTCACAGGTAGATCATATACGGGGTCTACACTTATCAGTTTACTTATTATCAAATACAGCCTCGATTAATAACAGGACCTCCGGTCATCATACAGATCCTTAACAAGGAGTTTGATCATCAGCTCAATTGTCAATAAGTGCCGAGACGGCCACAGGCGGCTCCCTCGGTTGAGGACTGAAAGCGAAGCGACCCTGGTTCTGTTCAACCTGCAGCCTGAATTGTGAATAAATACCTGAGACCGGAACCGTCACCACCACCAGGATATTAGCAAGAGGGGCCAGCTGTGGCTATCTCAACACCTTCAGCAGTGATGAGCGAGTAACCCAACCGTGCAACACTGATTTTAATGAGCAACACGTTCAACCTGATCGAATCGCCACGGTCATCAGAGTCGACAGCAGAATCAACGAGGACAGGAGCAACAAGGAGCCAGCTGTGGCTGTCTCAACAGTGCAGCATGAATTAATAGAGGACTCAGTAGACCAGCTCCTGATTCAACTATAATTAATTAACCTGTAGCAATGATGATTAATCAACCCGAGACGGCCACAGTCGGCTCCTTCCATTCATACTCGTTCATGTTCAACCGTGCAACGATGACTATTAATGTTAAACCAAAAGGAGCCAGCTGTGGCTGTCTCACAATGCAGCGTTGATTATCAAGGTTCAACTGACTAGGTACAAGGCTTCAGCAGCATGGATTATGTGATAAGGCTCTAGGATTAAGTAACCTGAGACACCCACGAGGTGGCTCATTCCATTAATGACGGTAAGCGAAGCGACTTGTGCATCATGCGTCAGTCGTCATCACCGTTGGACTATTCATGATCAACATCAACGAGTCCAATTAAAATGAATAACAATAGGAGCCAGCTGTGGCTGTCTCAACAAGTGCAGCGAAGATTAGTCATCTACCTGATACACCCACAGGTGGCTCCCTAGGCTGATGTTGTTAAGCGAAGCGACCTCGGGCATCATGAGTCAGTATGAAGCAGTGGCCGTAAGCGAAGCGACCCGTGCAACATCGATCTGTAGGTATGAACGGATGAGTGAGTGATCCTGTGGGGTTGGGGCCCCGCTGGTGAACGAATGAAGGAGTGGATGAAAGCGAAGCGACCTCGGGTATCATGTGTCAACGGTGCAACAGGGATGGGTAGGTGTAGCAAACGAAGTGCGCAGGAATCCTAGGAGGAGTGAACGAGCGATCGATCCTGTGGGGTAGGGGCCCCGCTGGTGAGGAGTGAGGTAACGTTCGTAAGCGGAGCGACCCAGAGCAACATCGATCGGTAGTTCGTAGTGAAGGAGCGAGCGATCCCCTGAGACCTCAGGGGTGAGGAGTGATGAGCGGTCGTAAGCGAAGCGACATGTACATCATCGACCAACCAAAGTTTGTAGGGTCTCCGCAAACGGAGTGCGCAGGAATCAGGGTAAGGAGTGGATGAGCGATAGATCCTTGGGGTAGGGGCCCCGAGGTGAGGGAGTGAAGGAACGTTGCAAGCGATCATGGGTACCCCGAGTCCCGTGCAGCCAAGCTCATTAGGGGTGTCTCAGCAAACGGTGCGCTAGGAACCTGATGGAGGTTGTAAGCAAGGGGCCCCGCTGGGGAAGGCGACCTCGTGCATCATCAACCTTCAGCAAGGATTATTAATGAACCTGAGACACCCAGGAGGTGGCTCCCTAGGCTGATGATTTTAAGCGAAGCGACCTGTTCATCATGGACCAGTCATCAGCAATATCATTATTAACATCGTCCTAACCATCCTCGTGCTCATGTTCAACCGTACAGCCTTAATATATAGGTTCAACCTGAGACACCCACAGGTGGCTCCATCAGCAGTTATGAATGAACGTGCAGCTGATGAATAATGAATCCCCAAGAGGAGCCAGCTGTGACTGTCTCAACAAGTGTAGTTGGTTATTAAAGGTCCTGAGACGGCCACAGGCGGCTCCTTCAGCGATCATAGTTAAGCGGAGCGACATCGGGTACCATGAATCACGTGCAACTAGGATCGTTAGGGGTGTCGACAACCGAAGGGCGTCAGGATACTCAGTGAGGCTTCCAAGTAGAGCGAGGGGCCCCCTATGGGGATGGAATCAGAATGCCCCTGATCACCACCAAAGGTATCGAGCGCAGCGACCTCCCCCTAGCGCGCTATCGCTTACAGGCTGCGCCTCCCCATAGGGGACCCCTCCCCGGACAAAGGTGCTGCGCACGGCCCTGCACGAAGTCGTTCCCCCGGGTTGGGCCACGCTCGGGGCCGGTGTGGACCTGCAAGTTGCAAACCTTATACCCTCCACTCCACCCTCCTTCTCGATCAGTACTCGCCACCCTACGGGCTCCTTCGGAGGTCCAACAAGTTGGACTGGCTGCGTGCTGAGCGTTCAGGAGGGTTGCATTACGGGTAACGGTCTGCAAGGTCCACCCCTTAAACCCCTCCGCTAACACCCCAACCCTCCTCCACTCAACACCCCCAAAAGCGTACAAGAAGATCAACGCCATCATCAGCGCGAACAGACCCAGCGCCTCCGTCAACGCGAACCCAAGGATAGCCGTGTTGAACAGCTCCTTACGCAAGGACGGGTTGCGAGAAGTACCCGTAATCAGAGCAGCGAAGATGGTTCCCACTCCCATCGCAGCACCAGCGAGGGCGATCGTAGCAAGTCCAGCGGCGATAAGCTTGGCGGCCATCAGCATATAAATGAGTTGTCTAGCAGTGCAGCGGTGATCTTAAGGTGGAGGAACGAAGGGGGTGTTAGCGAAGGGGTTTAAGAGAGGTGGTCTTGCATGACGTTAATCACGTAGATCGATGGTAGTCGATCGGAGTGATTATAAGGATTGCAACTTGCTGACCACCGAACGGCCCCGCAGCGTGCCCCCGTAGTGGAGGAACCGACCCTGCATAGTCTCACCAATCAACGGTGATAATAAGTGAAGTGCAATGGAGGTCAGGTGTTAGCGCAGTTCCCTCCCTCAAGGGGACCCTTTAGGGGATGGGGAGGGGACGGAGCGTGGCTGACCGCAATGAAACGGAACGACCCTGTGCATGTCGATTTACCGAAACGGTGCAACCAAGGTGTATAGGTGAGACAGCCACAGCTGGCTCCAGTGCAGCGACTACTAATGAGCAGACTGGCCCTGCGACGGCCACAGGCGGCGCAGTCCAGAAATAGCTCTAGCCCCATCAAGGCTCCTGTTGACACCAACACCGAGGGAATCGAACCCCCACCCCCAGGTCATGAGCCTGGGATGCTACCATTACACCAGGTGTTTGAGACGGCCACAGGCGGCTCCCATTGGAGCACACCTAACTTCTAACCAGCCCACTGCGACGGCCACAGGCGGCGCCATAAGTGAGTTCGACGATTAAATCCGAGACAGCCACAGCTGGCTCCCATGGGTTATCTAGGGAACCACCCTTCCTACTGTCTAGTAATCACAAGGACTACCTCCAGCCGGATTGAAACCTACCACCTAACAGCACCCGCCGTAGGTCCAGCCGCACACCATACCCCACCAAAGTGAGTCAGCCATTTCGGGCGTCGTAGGCATGCTAACGTCCACTTAACGTCCACGCTCGGACGCCCCTACCATCTCTGGTCTACCCCGAGGAAGGAATCAACACATGTAGTAGACCGCCCTCCAACCTTCAGTCCACCAGCCTACCCCAAAGGGGCGAGCTAGCACCAAGCACCGCGCACCCACACGCGAGACTGTCCGAAGAAGTTGAGACTACTCATTAATATGTCGATTACCACGTTGCAACGTATACCCTTCACATGTTAACGCAATGGAGTCTCAATCGTGCTAGGTCAGGCAGCAGGTACCACTCCTCACCTCCTCACTCACCACTCGCCCCCCTCCGTCATCCCATCAACTAGGACGCTTCGAAATGAACGATACTCCCACTGGACGTGGTTTCTTGGATGAGGACTCAGTCAGGTTCGTAGCCCTTAGTCCGTCGTTCCTTATCGCCCAGCGTCCGTTACAACACGAGACGCCTCCCTTCAGTTGCCCCACCACACTAATAATCTCACACCCCCAGTTTACAAGGACCCCGCTAGTCCATGGTTCTGTTGATAGTTAATAGCGCAAGATGACGCATAGGGTAGCACAGACATACCCCCAATAAACCCCTGACGGTAGATGGCGCTTACTTCACTCCCCCATTCCGTGTACTGTTTCCACACCGTCACTTTTTACATCCGGTCTCGCCGCCTGCCGCCAACTTCGCCCAGATGCTTGGTCTGACCGGTCAGTTGTAACTTCAGGCTGTCGCTCTTTACCATAGGCTGTAACGGGGGCACTCGCAGATTGGAATCCACCCAGGGGAGAAGTCCCATCAGTCGGTACGTTAACAGTTAGATGAATATACACCACTCACGTGATGTTCCGCAGCACATCAGCCCACCACCAAGAACAGTTCATATGCGTGGCTACTTCACCTCCCGCCCTTAAGCCAGGAAGTATCGTCTCCACACACTGCCGCCATTCTAAGGTCACTGATCATGTCCCTCATCACTGAGGAAAGAGCACATGCCACTCCCGCATCCCACCCACCACCGTCACCAGTGATGAGACGTCCTCGGTAAGACATGGACCCTCTACAAGCTGTTGCCTTTTATTCAGCACCCCGCCGCATATCTAACGAGCACCCAACCATCCAACATCATCAGGACCCTCGGGGCACATAGGCCACACCCTTCCCTGACTAGTTGGTTAGATGACTACACATTAAACACCGCGAAGCCAGCACTCGTACGCCCGACACGTCGCTCGCCTCCCCTTGATAAGGTTACCTTGGCTCCCTTCCCCCGTAATCCCGGTACATGCAGTATCCCCGGCCACCCCCACCCATCGCTGAGTAAAGTACCGTGTAAAGCATCTCGTCAGTATACAAGGGCCGCCTACCTCCCCCTCTCGGTTCGACTACAACGCAGCCTGTCCGCACTTCCGCACGCCAATGCCCCGCCCTTAGTCTCAGTCACCTGAGACACCAGCAGATACACCTCGCACTTGACACCGGCCCTCTCCCCGCCGCATGCCCCGCACCTCCTATCCGAAGTGCCCCTCTATCCAACCTCTCCCGTTGCCAGCCCAGCCTACCCGTCACCCCTCAAAGCAACCCCAGGGCCCTCTCCCCCCACCCCCACCAACGCCCCTTAATGGAGGAACGTCAGCATCAGTGAAGCAGCGTGGTTAGGATCACATCGAAGCGTACAAGTAGACCGAGGGTAAGCCCGTATAGAGTCAAGGTCAATAGCTTCCAGGCTCCAGGCCGTCCGATCGTTGAAGAGCACGCAGTCATACGCGACGTGGTTCAGGCGGATTCCTGTTACTGGCTTAGTTTATCGTGTTAGGGTTCAACCCCTTTACGCACGCCGGCCGCTGGTAAGTTCCTCCAGTCTCTACGCCCGGGGGCTTAATACCCTCTATGATTCCCTACCGCAGCAGGCGTATGGGCCCGATATAGGTAAGGTAGAGAGCTCAGCCGCACGAGGTGGAGTACCCTGTGATCCCATGGCTTCAGGCGTTGAGCTTCTCTCCCCATCGCTGGAGATTACGCTCAAGGCTATTCACCACGGGCAGGGCCCCGCTTCCTCAACATCCTACGCAGCATCAATCTTTAGATCATAGCGTCACCCACCCACGAGCCACCCAAGTGCAGTGTAATGAAGGGGTGTTAGCGGAGGGGTTTAAGGTGCTGGCCTTGCATACCGTTACCCGTAGTGCCCCTCTTCGGAAGGACCAGCCCACAGAGTCCCAACTTGTTGGGATGCGAAGCACCCGAAGGGCTCGAGGACTGGACCTGGAGATGAGGGGTACGTAGGGTATAAGGTTTGCAACTTGCAGGCCAGTACCGGCCCCGAGCGTGCCCCGTAATGAAACGAAACGACCCTGTGCAAGACCCCACATGAGGAAGTACTCGATCACATCAAGGTCGCATGAGACAGCCACAGCTGGCTCCATTCAGGTCAGCCAACAGAGCGCTACCCGAAAGTCTCAGCTGGCTCACCCCACCCGAAGATAGGTGAACTCGCTGCGACGGCCACAGGCGGCGCCCCTTGGTTAACATGAAATGAGCTCGTTGAGACAGCCACAGCTGGCTCCCATCCGGAGGACAGTCAGCGTGGTATGAAACCGTGCAACCCGAATTTAAATAACCAACTCACTAATAAACCGGGGTCAACCCTCGACCAAGTACACAGTACTTTTAAAATGAACGGCTCAATCCATCAACGATTCAGCACCAGTTATTAAATGACTCACCCAACTATCATGAAATCCATAATCACTATCATATAGGACCATAAACAATGTACCTCACCTAACAACCACCCAATTAAAATAATCAGTGCAGCTTTAATTAATAATGATCCCCGCCATAAATACGGGGGTACACCCTCACCCAACGACACGGTAACTCTGAAATGAGCCCCATTCTGAATCAACGACTTAACAAGTAAACCACCCAACCACCACGGATCCTGAATCACACATCGATCAACCCTAAACGAGGCACCTCACCTGACGAGCACCCACCGAATTCAACGATGCAGCCTAAATTAATAATCACCATGAAACGAATCACCCCTCCCCCCA